AACCAAATAGTGAGGTATGAAGGGGTGTGAGCTGAATGTCGAGCTCCATCCTTTTGAGACAATCGTAAAAAATCACATTTACAGAACTCCCAGTGTGGACGAACACTCTCTGCACTTCATATCCCGATATCTGGGCCGTTATCATCAGTGCGTCGTTTTGAGGCCTCTCAACTTCTCATCTGCTGGGGTGAAGTTTATTACCGGTCCATTCTCATCGACTTGTTGTATCTCGACTTTCCCATGACGCCCTCGGGCATATGTCTTCCTTGCTCGATTCGAATCCCCGTCAGTTGGCCCTCCAAATATCATATGTATGGTTCCCCTTTTCTGTGGGAGCTCCTCTTTCTCCGGTGTTCTCGCCCTCTTGTGAGGGCTCCTGCTCCTTTCCCTTCTTCTGTTCGACTTTTATCGATCCTTATATATGAATTCCTTCAAGTGTCCTGCCTTAATCAGTCTTTCGATTTCGTCTTTAAGGTGCCTGCAATCGTCAGTATTGTGACCATAGTCTTTGTGGAATCGACAGTATAGGTTACTGTTCGGTCTCGTTGGTCCATCCTTCCTCGTTTTGGACCATCTGACAACGTTGTCATGAATTTCTTTTTCCATTACTTCCAGAATTTGCGCTTGAGGGGCCGACAAAGGGGTGTATTGAGTCAGCCTCCAACCCCTAGGTCGTCCCTCTCTTTCTACTCGCGGGGACCCCTTTCTCTCCCCAGCCGAGGAAATTCTCTTATCCCTTCTTTCTTCCCGAGGGTCAGCTCTACTTTCCTTAGCTATTCGCGAGAAATCGATCTCCGCCTCCTCGACATTCATATACTTCGCGCATCTCCCCAGCACTTCGTCGAACGTTCTACCCGGGCGCTTTGCCAGAGAATTCCTGCACAAGCCCGACAGCAACCCTCGTGTCAATCCTCCCGCCTTTATCTCCTCCGATGCCCTGGGCACCTCGACACATGCTCGCGTATACCTTGCCATATAATCTCGCAGCGACTCACCTTCCTTCTGTTGGATACCCATTAAGGTCAGATACGACTTCTCCTGCGGTCTCACACTTGCGAATTGATTGAGAAAACTCACACTGAATCCTTCGAAATCCTTGATGGCTCCTGC